AAGCGTTTCAAACGCGTTGACTGATAGTACACTTTCCCATTTCTGCTTTACTTGTCAGTAACCTAAGCAAGAATACAGAATTATGGACCCAGAATTCAAAACACTTTCATGAAAATTTACATTTTTAGGAGTATTAATTTCCTCTGAACAAATACTTACCTTAAACAAACTGAAGACTCGACATCATGCTTGTTTATAACGTTGCATGCATGCAAATGAAAACGGCGACAGTTAACTGATCCTTTGATAATCAGTTGACGGGGATCTCGCTATCATTAACAAACTGAGTAAGCGATTCTTTAGAAAAAAACATCATAATTAACATTCATCTAGTTCTGTAAAGGGTGTATGCTAAACAGACAACGTATCCGTCAAGATGCACAGCACATGACATCTTGAAAATGCAATCGTCAAGATTCATATGGAGAACAAACGCCAAATAAATAGGAGATCGCACATCAAGACTAATAATTCAGGGAGCAGTGAAATGGTCAATTCCATTATTCAACCGGAAAAGAAACGGCAACACGGTTACGGATCATCAGCTGTCTTCAAGATATTTACAGCAGCGTCATTTCGAACCGAAAACTGGCAGAGATTAACAGTCACCGTAAATACTCAGGCAATAAATATACACTTACATTATCTGTTCCTGTAGGTGGAACGAAGTTTATTCCGTAACTTCCGATTTAAGGAAAACTAAACCTTAAAACCAATTGCGACATCATTTTGAAATAGTTCATTTTCAAAAAGAGCAAGGAAACAATCTAGGGTATATACGCTTCTACATGAAAGAGAACATACAGAATTGAATCCCTTGAAATAAACAACCAACATCGTGTGCAATGAACAACAAAGATTAACCATTCCGATCGGAACTTTTTACGCCTTTTGTAATGCATTTTCGCATTCATTTTTCACCGTTGCAAGCGGAAAACCATCAGTTATTCGCAACACGCTCAGATTTTACAGCACGTTTTCGTACAAAACTGATGTGTAACTTGAAACAAATTAATTCCTACCTGCACATCGTGAGCTGACATTGCTTTGTCATACGGTAACGGAATCGCATTTCATTAGGTCATGAAATTAACGACTCAAGTTTTCCCCGCAGATCAACATATTTTCGTACTAGGAAATTGAGCTAACGAAAGCATTAAAAAAAACCTTACTACTTTGTGTGATAATTACTGTCGATCTCACTGTCCTGAGAATATCAAAAAGATTTCTATTATACAATGTCATACTAAAGTCAAAACCAAGTGCTCAATTACATGGTGGCCCTGAAAAGGGCCGTTGGGTTGAAAAGACTCGGACGTTAGTTGTTTATGCACGCTCGCCGCGAATACGCCTTGCCAACTGGATGTCCTTTGGCATGATCGTAACACGTTTGGCGTGGATGGCGCACAGATTCGTATCCTCGAAGAGGCCAACCAAATACGCCTCACTGGCCTCCTGCAAAGCCATCACAGCAGAACTCTGGAAACGAAGATCCGTTTTAAAGTCTTGTGCGATTTCGCGAACCAGTCGCTGGAAAGGCAGCTTGCGAATAAGCAACTCAGTGCTCTTTTGGTAGCGCCGAATTTCTCGCAGAGCGACGGTTCCCGGACGATAACGATGGGGCTTCTTGACACCACCGGTAGCTGGAGCCGACTTTCTTGCAGCCTTGGTGGCTAACTGCTTTCGTGGAGCCTTTCCACCAGTAGACTTTCGGGCGGTCTGTTTCGTACGTGCCATCGTAACAAAAATTGCAGGAACTACACCACACCACCACACAAACAAACAACTAAACGCACAATGAGCTGAAGACGGTGTTTCAAACCGCTCTCGCGTATCAGTTTTCTTATCGCAGGAATTTGATTGGCTAATGCAAAGATGCCTTGCGGTGAGTGGTCAATTTAAATTACGGTTATGGCCCGCAGGTAACATTACAGATATTCTATAACAAAAACATTCTATTAATTTATTGCACCGTATAATTCGTGGAGTAATGTAAATATGAGTAAAACATACTGGTCCCTCTTAGTTAAAGTTCTTGAAGTTAAAGTTCTTAAAGTGAATCATATGTGCATAAATTTCTCCCAAATGGTGTTGTTTGTAGTTTGCGTCTCCGTCATTTTCTGCGTATTTCTGCGGCCATTTGAATAGCCGGTCTAACTATTAGGATTCTCGAAACGAAAAAAGGAACTCAGATATCGATAGAATCAGAAATGTAGTTAATGATGATTCTCTGCCCAAAGAATATGAGTGAATAGATGCAAAGGATCATAAACAAAACAACATTATCAAGCCGTCTTCACCTTGAGAATTATGGATCTTAAGCATTTTATTATATTTGAAATGAATTTCATAACGTTTAGAGCATAATATTATTCATAATAACGTTCTTTATAATTACTTTCGCAATTACTTTT